TACCCTTCTCTTTCCAGTGTCTCCAAAAACAAATAGGCAAGGTTACCTTTCGCAGTCCCTCCAATCGTTCAAGTTACTTCTGAATCCCAAGCTCATGCACTATCTAGTCTACCTGACCTCACTGGCAAACCCATTCCTACCGAACCTCACCTCTCTCTTGATACTTGTACTGGAACTGTTTTTATCTCCCCAAATGCTTGTCCCATCTACAACAAGGACTGGTCAGACTGTGAAAGTGACCTACTTACCTGCTTTGCTGATTATGGTGCAGTGAAAGTAGTGTAACACTATTCCTCTCAGTGGTTAGCGTAAGTCCCATTGTCAATATTACTAAGATTAGCTTCCGTAGACATAACCTCCCCCATTTAATTTATATTGGTGGATTGTCCCACCATGTCAGAAAATATCAGAAATCTTGGCATTTTGGCCATCCAGCCAAACACTGTTGCTCTACAGACCACTGCAATCTATGTGCCCAACCTGGTCATAACTGTTCAAATCTCCCAGCCTATAAGTTCAAATGTGAGGTAGCAGTTCTCAGATTCAAACTAGGCTTCCCTCTACATGAGGCACGAGAGGCACGAAGATGAAGGGAATGAATAAAATATGGAAGAGGAAATTAGAAAAAAAAGACCTGCAAAATTAGTTGAGGTAAGGGCTCAAGTCTAAGGTAGATGCAATCCTTACATTGGGCTCCCGTCTCTAGCTCCTAAGCCTCCCAGTGACAACAACGAGGGAGCCATTGTTAAATCTACTTCTATTGTTTACTAACAGAGGGAAATTCCCTTACTCCCTCACTTTTTCTTTCACTTTCATTACTTAGCTTCAGAAGTATGTATCTCTAATATTACAAATAAATGGGCAGCTTATGTAATACATAACCCAGTCATTCTATTTACATTATACATTTTTTCCATAGATGCTGTATGGGGAAGAAGAAAAATACAGGGCACAAGTAGCTTTATCTTCTAAGCCGCAGACAAATAATCCCACAGTATATAATTTTTATTGAAATATATTGAAAGTATTTTTGTACATTTTGTTTCTGATAATGTAGACACTTTTCATTGATTATTCATCAGTACTGCAATAGAAATGTACACTGGAATTCACCCATTCAGCTTTCACACTAATACAACAATGAGGTTTATAAACTACCATCAAACTTTCTTGTCTTTTTCTTCAGAACCAATTGTTTGTGAATCAACAAGTCCTAAAGTTATGGTATCAGTAAATTTTATTCTAATGGGTAATCTTCAAGCACAGAATTTACATTTATCCATTTGCACATTCTTACTACTTCAAAAAATGTTAGAATCTTTCTATTTCTTAATACTAGATAAAAAACATTTTTTATTCACCTTAATAGTACAAAATGACAAAAGAGGTAAGGTGTTATGAAACTATTAAAATTAAAAAGGAATAGGCAGAGTTATGTTGAGCTACTCTAAACATACAAACACAGATTTCATTTTAAGGTTGGAGAGGGAAGGAGGTAGGTAGGAGGGAGGGAAGATTACTTAACATACTTTTCCATAAATCTTTTGTGGAATTCAGAACGCAGAGAGTCGTTAATGAAGGTCTTCTCACTTTTATCTGGCTCTGATGCAGCACAGTTCTTGAATACAACATCATCGTCCCACCTGCGCTTGACTTTCATATCAGACTTGGGCGCTGCGGCAAGATTGAGTAGAGGATTTCCTGAGATGATGTTTTCCATGCGGATGCGCTCCTCCTGCTCCTGGCGTTCTCGTTGCTTCTTGGCCTCTTCCTCAGCACGCTCTCGTCTGATGCGCTCCAGCTCAGCAAACAGCACAGCCTCATCATCAGAGTCGTCAGAGTCAGATGCCTCGTCATCATCATCTTGGGGGTCATCAGCATCCAGATTGGCAGGTGCAATCTGGTCTAGCCTGGGTTTCTTGGAGGACGAGGAGGAAGATGAGGAAGATGATGAGGATGATGGAGCACCTGAGTCCCTCTGATTACTGCTGCTGCTGCTGCTGCTTCCACTGCTGCTGCTGGTGCGCTTGTCCCTGGCGGCACGTTCACGGTCCTCCAACTCACGGCGGAAGTCACGGCTGCGGAGCTCATCAGTGGTGGACTGGCCATGATCACGATACTTGAGTCTCGTATGTGATGGCAGATCTCTGGCTGAATACTGCTTCGACAGAGCACTCAAGTCCCTTTCCCCACGCCCCATGCCACCTTTCGCAGGCTCGAAGGTTGGGCGTGCAGCTGTAGTCATGGTGACGGCTTAAGTCCTGAGAAGGAATAATTGGGTATTTAAAAAAAGAATTATTCATAAAAGCTTCCTGACCAATATATTTCTATATTTCCCTAACTTATATAAAGAGGTGACTACAACTGAGAGGTACTCATATGTAATAGAATTAGTCAAATCTTTGTTCACCACAAGATAATAAATGCAAGAGTGCATTTGAAAACTTCTTATCACCAGCATACACTAGGTATACTGTGCAGAGATAGGCTAAGGCAGTGTATCTCACAGTGGCAAAGATCTAAGTGGGGTAGCCAGAACTACGACACGGTATCTTTTGCTGCAATAGATCACTGTGTATGAAGTACCGTGATAATCACTGATTATAATAAAACATACAATGCCAGAATCAAAATGGTTAATGGTTAATGGCTACAAAGTAAAATACATGTGCTAGACATCAAAGGTCCTTTATAGCACTAGAGGAGGAACATGAATAAGAAAGGAATGGAAGTCAGCAGTCACTTTATGTGTAGAGGGAAAGGGAGCAGAGAGAAAGAGAAGATGGATGAGGAATCGGTATGTCATTTTGGGTCATGATTAGAAAGTTTTAACCCAATGTCGACAGGAACATGGTGCGTTCCCTTTGGCAATGCTTGGTTAAATGTTTCTGCACATAGATGGCTCTGCCAATGCTTAGTCATAAAGGAGTCAATTAGTAGATCTTGCAACCTCACTTTTTCTTGAAAAAATGTGAAAATGCTCTTTATTACTTATGCTATCAATATTGACACAGTTATTTTTGTTATAAACATTATAATTACTATATTGTTACTGACATTACTAACAGCAGTATTAAATATTAGAAAATATTATCAAAAACCAAGGGAAAGGGTAAACAGGCGAGACAGGTCACTTCGGAAACAAATATCAATACTTTCACTTATGTGTTTTGTGATGGAAAACAACACAAGATTCATTTATATTACTGTGAATAATTGAAGCAAGGAATAATAACTGCAATGGGTAAATATTTGGAATATATACCTTTGCATTACTGATCATAACGAATTGGTATCGATAGATTCCTCTTACGCTCTACTTTCCAAATGAATAGGATTTAAGCCACAGAACCCCCCACCTCAATACCCACAATCTTGGCCCCAATAGCAGGGGAGGGCATGAATGGTACCAGGGAAATTGTATGGTAAATTATGAATAATATACAGAGAATTGGTAACTATACAGTGCCTCCTACAATCCCCAACCCCTCATCCTGGACAATAAAGAATCCACCATATACATACAGCAGGATAGACAGACTCTGCATAGAGTGCTCCCACAGGTCGGTCAAATGTTCAACCCTCCTGTGAATACATCGAGCAGTCTTTGTCTTCCATTGTGGAGTTTGGGGTTGCATCAGACAATTGACCAGTTTGTTAAAATTGTGAGAGGAATGACCCAATTCATATCTGTATATACAGACATGCATTTATTTCATATACACAGAAATAAATGCATATCTGTCTATGTATCTGACAGATATATATTTATCTATCTATATCGGTAGATAATCATGGCTAGACTGATAGATATGTGTTTATTTCTGTGTATATCCAAGTCCATATGATGAATATATACTGGGTCGGACCTCACACAATTTTAACAAACCGGCCAAATATAGTGACTGATTCTGTGTCAGACTGTAAAGCTTTTCAAATGCGCAGAGAACACTGGTTTTTTTTATGGAAAAAAAACAAAAACATTTATTTGTAGAATTTTGTATTACCAAATATATTAAGTTAATATCCACATGTGTATCTTTCTTGTTCCTGTCCTTCTTTGTGCCCTCAATAGGCACAAGTAGAGATGGTGGAAACCCAAGAGACCACAAAGTTTAAAAATAATAATCTTCAACAAATAACCAAATCTGTTAAAAAATCAGACAATATGCAGTACGAGGTAGTGGCGGACGTGGGTATTAAAACCTATATGAAATGATAGAACAATACAAACCAAGACAATTTTTTCAATAGCAATATTTGTGCAAATGCTTCCTAAAGGTGCTATACGTAAAAGAACAGAGGTGAGAGCCCAATTTTAGCTAAGTTGTTCATCTTGATTACATCTCAAGAGAAAACACTGGACTGACTGCAGAACTCATTACTGCGATATGCCATGTAGTTCATGTGTAACTACTCTCTTATCAAAATAATATTTTGTTAAGTATCAGTGTCTGCTGTTCCCCATTCATGGTTTCAACAGCCTTAATTAATGTGTTTTAAGATTTGTTTATACATATTTGTACCAGAATTGGTCTGAAGAACCTTCTGTGTATGTGCATATGTGCAATTCCAGGTGCCAGTTTTGACATGAAGATTCCCAGCCATTCTGTAACAGAAGGCTGGCGGAATTTTTTTTGTTTTCCATGTTGTGTCAATTCTGGGTTATTCTTAAGACTATACAGTGGCAACAAAGAAGAAACAGACCTTACTAACCATTGAAGTTTGATACCTAAGCCTATCAAGTACCCAAAATGCTGAAAAAATTATTTGAAACAAAGCAATCCGTACAGCAGAGAGAAGCGAAGAAAAGTTTAGTGTTTCGAGATATAAAGGTATTTGATTTATTTAATACATTATGGATGTAGCTGTCTTCCCATACATACCGAGATGAGGAAAATATGTTCAAGAGGGTGTTGGGGGCAGAGCCCCTTCATCAACCCTCCCATCGGGAAGTACACGAAGGACATACCTAGTCATGGGAACTTAGATTCTTAGGTGGGGTTAGATTATGGGTCAGGACATTTTTGGGGGGTTTAAAAGTTGTGAATTCCCATAGAATTTACCAAAAAATGGGTTGGACTCCTGTAGAGTTTTTAAATTTTGGTGTGTTGGTCTGTAGACTTTCAAAGATGGTGGGCATATCTATAGAGTTTCATTAGCCAATTTAAAACATTTCTTGCCCTAGTTTTTCACATTTTAGTTCTCTATTCTTCTTATCTTAGCCTGTTTTACCCCACAATCTCCCTGATATGCTTCATGCCCTCCCCTGCTATCAGGACTAACAAATCAAGATTGTTGATGGAAATGGTACTCAGGTTTCAAAGATTCATTTGCACAAGAATCAATGCTTAGAATCGTTTAAATCTGTGGATTTTCTGCAGATAAATATCAAAATTGTTTCAAAAGAAAGCTGCAGAAAAAAACAAGGCAGAAATTGTTGTGCGGAGAACATATCCCCGCATAGACCAAACTTCATAATCTGGACTCTGTGTAAATCATTCATATATTAATCCAGTAATATATGTATGAGCCCCCATCAACCCTTCCCTCAGTCAGTGCACCTAGTCATGGCAACTTAAATTGTTAGATTAGTATAGAAAAGGTATGAATGAGACTGGATATCTTCACAGTACAAGAGATGTATTGACCGGTTTTGATTACCTCTTCATCAGAAACACGTGTATTTCTTACGAAGACGTAATCAAAACCGGTCAAATAAAATCTCTTGTATTGTGAAGATATCCAGTTTCATTCATACCTTTTCTACATTTGTCAACATGGATACGGTTCATTTGTTAGATTAGGTTGGTTTAATGGTCAGTATGTCTTTTGGGGGGTTTGGAACAGAGCAGAGACCGAGAATTCCACACTGCACACACATGATGTCAAGAGTTTGCCAATTCTGGTATGGAAAAGAAATTCTGGCAATTTACAATGGAAACGAACACCAAAATCAACCGAACGAAAACAATAGAAAAATCATCAATCTAGTTTCGTCCCGAGAAGCGTTCGTGACGTCTTTTTTTTTCCAAATTTACCTAATGGCCTTACAACACAAGACTGTTGTGCAAACCCCCCCAAAAATACCCAAACTTTAACAAATATCTCAAATATGTTGATTCGCTATAAATAACCACACCATAACCATATTACTTTCGATATATCTGTTCCGAAAATAATGAAAGATGATGAAATCAGACCAAATAGAGACAATCCAGTGTATCGCCACGTAAATTACCACATTAAAATCAACCTAGCCAACGTTTTACGTAATATTGCATACATATCTAATAACAATGAATCCTGGCGAGTTAGTAAATGCCATTTTCTCAATTACCTGCGCTCTGGAAGTTCCTTTTCAAATAAAAATTTAGAGAGAGGTGTAAAATCTGTCCTCCTGTTATTGTTTACTACTGAGGGGTAACGAATCTATTTCCTGTTATCATAACTAGCTTCGTGCGGAAATCTGTTTGATGTTATATTTACTTTCTATGATGGAATATTTTACTTTTTTATATTATCACCTTTTAAATGATTCTGGCAAAATATCTTGCTTAATTAAAATGCGTTCGTTATAGTTTCATATTTCCGTAAAATTTTCTGCATTCCATATTCAATTTAAAGGCAATCATATTTCAAAATATTTTTTTTCTTTGTTTTTTTACAAAATATTGACTTTTATTTAGCGCCAGTGAAATAATAGTTGTAGAATACTGACATTTTACGTCATGAAAGTCAAATGGACATCTTACTAGACTTTAATTCTACACTATAAATATAAAGAAAATCCTGTTTTAACAGCTCAACTATAAATGATTACAAAATTTTATGATATATGAATATAGATTTAAGGTGTATTTTTAATAATTCTTATCTTTCATTTGACTTTTGTTTACATAATACCGCGGGAAGTGTTTAAGGCAAAATTACAATTGAACTCCGGTACAGTATGTTATTTTTCCTTCTTTTGCTTATAAGAACCTCTACAATACCGTAATTATTTATTATTATAATGCATTCCATAGGTTTAGGGGAATATAATTAAATGTCGTCATATATAACATGCATAAAGTATGGAAATATGTCGATTTAGCGAAGTCGAGTATGAATTTTTACGAAAGCTGTAACTCACTCTTTTTACTCGTTTTTACCTCTTTTTTTTAAGTAGCAAATTGAGGATAATCCCTATTTCAAATCACCACTGTCATATACAATCAGATAATCGCTTATATCTCGAATATTATGCTACTTAGATACACCTATATTTCGCCATCACTTTGAAACTTTTTGAATGAAGAGAAAACCAATATTGCACATTTATCCAAAATCTTCAAGTCTGTTTCCTTTTCAGACACAATGGGGTCTCAGAAGTCCCCATTGAACGAGGAGAACCTGATGAACATATTAGCTGATGCAGCGCACTGGACTGAGGAACAGACGGTCGAAAAGCTTCATGGAACTCTGCCTGTCGTTATAATATCCTTTTTTGCATACTAAGTGGAAGGTTTTGTGGTATTTAGTATGTGTTGTATCGGGGTTGGTGCGGGGAGATGATGGAATGATATACCTGTCCGTGGTGTGTTTTTTTTCCTTCTTTTTCTTTTGGAAATTGGGAAATTTGCTTTCCTGCCAGTATTCATATTCTAAGTCATTTATGCCTCTTCTTCTGTTCTCATCTAATTTTCATTTCTCTTTTTATCTGCCTCTCACATGTCTCACCTCCTTTCTGTCCTTCTTTCACCCACCTTCTTCCCCAACCTTTTGCCTATTTCTCATCCTCCTCTTCTATATACTCCCATTCTCTACCTCATAACCATCCTGGGAAAAAAGCCTTAACTCCCCCACGACTTCCTGCAAAAGAGCCCACCAGCCGAGGAAGGGGTGCAGGTGGCCAGGTTCGTCCTAGGGTCCTTCCTTCCACACCTCCAAATCGAAGAGTCCTTCTCCCTCCTCGATGCCACTCTGCCAGCCCTCGGGTCATTCTTTGATGGCTTTGTGCAGGAGTGTGAACAGGGGGCAAAGGATAGCGAAGATTTGCCCAGCAGACTCCTCCAGGTATATTTTATTCATTTATCATCTCTCACGATTTAATAAGTGACGGAAGTGAATGAAATGCCGGTGCTAGAAATCTTTTCTTCCAGATAATACTTCAGCTCTTATTTAACTCACTGGGAAATTGGATGGCCACATATAATAAAACTTTGCCTTGGTAAATGTTTAGATGTCAGAGCACCTGTCACTGGCTTCAGATTAGGCTGTGCAGTTTTCCAGTAAAAGCTCAAATGTTTTTGCAAAGTAGAACAATTTATCAAATAAAATTTCTAGTAGATTTTGACAGAACCCAATAAAGTTACAATGAGAAAGTTTTTGAAAGCTGTTTGGGTGTCTATTAAACATCTAGACTACTACCCTTGCCCTTTTTTTCTAGCAATGTGTCCTGATCACAGAGAGTTGTGAATTGATGGTACAGTTCCTGATGCAAGCAGAGAATGTCCTTGTGAAGAATGTGAACAACCTTCCCAAAGTTGTGTTGCATGTGATAAATGGTTCTCTGAAGCACTGCAGAGACAGGTTGGTATAGTGTTATTTTTTGATGATATAGATATTTAAGATATGTTTGAGTGATCGTGTGTGTGTGTGTGTGTGTGTGTGTGTGTGTGTGTGTGTGTGTGTGTGTGTGTGTGTTTCCATGTGTGTTTGTGTGTGTCCATGTGTGTGTGTGTGTGTGTCCGTGTGCGTGTTTTGGTGTTAGTGTTGTTCAAACAGAGGAAGGAAAGGCAAAAGGAACTTTATGAATAGTTATCATCTTCATTAATATTTTAGTAATCTTCATCATTATTGTTAATATTATTAGTATAATCATCATTATTATTTTTATTATCTTCGATGCTTCTAACATTTTATCTCACTGTAATTTTCATGCCAGTGGGACCATCTATGGGGACCAACAAGAGCGAGTAAGTGAGCCGCTGAATCTACTCTTTCGGCAGACTGTGGACCTCTCAACTCATTTCTCAGGATTATTACCCAAGCTCGTATTTGATACTTACGATGATATAAATATATTGATTGATGGTTAGTTATCCTTTTGGAACATATTCAGCTTTTTAACACTTTTCCAGATAATTTGTCTTTTTTTTTTTCATATTCACATCTACCTCTCCCTCCTCTTTCTCTCTTTCAGCTTTTGACTCCTTCTCCTCTTCCTCTTTTTCTTCCTCTTCTTTTCTCTTTCCCCTCCTCTTCCTCCTTTTCTTCCTCTTCCTCTTTTTCTTGTTCTTCTCCCTCATCTTTCTCTTTTTCTTCCCCTTCCTCTTTCTCTTTTTCTTCCCCTTCCCCTTCCCCTTCCCCTTCCTCTTCCTCTTTTTTCTTCCCTCTCCTCTTCCTCTTTTTCTTCCTTGACCTCTGAAGGAAGAATTCCTGCAGAATAATACAGTCTGAAATTTTGGTGCCCTTCTGCCTGACCTGAATAATTCTTTGAATTCAATTATGTTTTGATTTGTCATCGTCAGATTTGATCATTTGACAATATCTTACATCTAAATAGTTATAAAAGGGAGCCGTTTGATGTAAAGTGTTCCCAAGCATCTGTGAGTAATATATATATATATATATATATATATATATATATCATATGTGCTTTCTTCCAGTCTGTGAACAGCTACCAGTGACAGCATCATGCATGTCACAGTTGTCGGAAGTTCGTGCCTGTGTGGTGGTTTGGCGAGCATATGTCTCTTTCATCCAGCAGTATCATACGCATCTCATAACAGAACTGGATATCTCCCTGCCAATTGCTTCTCTAATAAAGGAGATTTCTGATGGTTTGCTCATGATGACAGGATTTTCAGTCCAGAATAAAAAAATGGTGAGTGTGGAAAGTAGTTGTGTTTAGCTTTGTTGTATGTGTTCTTGTATATTATATTTAGTAATAAGAATGACAAAAATCAACAGAAATAACATTATTTAGAAAAAAACACTGTCTAGATAAATTGAAAGACTTAAAACATATTAGTTCCCTTCATAGTATTTCATACTCCTTTTAATTCTTTCACTTTAGTTACAGAGAATGAGATGCATTATACTTTACATTTCCAGTAATAATTGGTAATATTTTTGATTAAGCTAATTATCCAGATAAACTCCATCTTGAAATTAACTGTGATTAACTTGACAGAATGACCAGGATCTTAAAATTACTCAGCGTATCATCAAGATGACAAGTTTTTGTATGAAGATTGTCATTTCACTATGTGAGAAATTTAAGGGATATCTACACCCAGCTCATCGAGATCTGGGGAAACTGCTGGTATTGTTATATAGGTAGAATTATGTGATTTTTGTGGTTTTGTAAGTATATTGACATATTGTAATATATGCATCTATGTTTTTCACTGATGAGTAATGGACTCACATTTTATTAAGCTGTGTTACAGTACATACAGTCTTTTGACACTATATCCAGGTTTTAGCACTTATGCCTGTTGCATTAAGAAAATGATCAAATGCCATTTTGAAACAGGTTCTTTCCCGAAAATCTCATCCTACAAAAGTTTCCCGATGGGGTAAAGACCGACATGGAGAGGCAGGTAGCCATTGGGGTTGAGCCCCTCTTGTCACACCTCAGGGATGATGTGGACTTTGTAAAGGTAAGGAGGTTGAAGACTGATGTTCCTGTATTGTTTTCCCGCACTTACTCATGTTCCTTGGTTCCCCCCCCCCCTTTTTTCTTTTTTCTTTTTCTTTTCTTTTCTTTTCTGTTCTTCTTCTTCTTCTCTTCTTTTTTATCTTCCTCTTCCCTCTCTCATATTTTCTCCAGACTTACTTTGCAATACATCTACTATACTTTTAGTGGATCACTGCAATTTATAGTACTGAAATAGAGTGTACAGTGCTTCAAATTGGGATAGGGGTCATGGGTGGGGAACATTTGATTATGGCTCAATTGGGTTTCCACGGCTTAACAGACTCTTAGATCATGCAGGCAAGACTTCCCCCTTTTAGTCTTAATAAGAAGGGTAGATTGTCATTGCTTGAAACTGGTATGGAGGTTCAGTGATTCAATACAGAGGGTTATGAAAAAGCCCATATTTTTAAGAATATAGGTCTGCTTACAAAGATGCATTTTTTTTTCTTCTTCTTCTTTCTTTCCTTCTTCACTGTCCTTTTAATGAACTTAATTAAAAACGTCAACTGTTTCCAGGTTGTAATAGACTTGGGAGATGAAGAAACCGAGAAGACAGAGGAAATAGGTGATTGGGGAAGTTATCTCCTGTTGCTGATTGCTCTGAGCTTCCCACTCTCGCCTGCTATTACACTCCACTTCGAAGCTCTCATTGACAGGACATTCCAGGCAATTCAGAAGAGTATGTCGTATAAAAGGGCTGGCTGACCTTTTCCCTACCATGTGTCATTTTGAGGCCAGATGTGCCACAGAACTCTTGTCCCTCTCCCTCTCTCCCTTGTAGCAGTGTCTTTGTATTCATAATTAGCACCTTTACTAGATATAGTTATTAAGTATAATAATAGTATCTGACAAAATGTGTAAACCAGTAATATGACTTTTTGGTCTGTTCTGATTTTACCCGTTCATTGATTTTTAGACCTTATTGCCCAAACTTTGTCACTTGTGATCATCCTAATGGTAGATTTTATTTGGAATTTTAGTTAGTCATTCCACATGTTTAGTAATTTTTTCTACCCTGTGGAAACAGGGTTTTACCAGCTGTTTTTTTCCCTTTCTTCATTACAAAGTTTTGTTTCACTTTTATTCTCATTCAGTACACATATAAAACTCTGAACCATCCTTTATAAGCTGAGTAGCCTTATAGGTCTATTTTTAATATTGAGTAGAAATATTTAGTAAAGTTGAACCTTCCATAATTCCTTTTAACTTTCAGGTCATGCTTCACTTTCATACCCATGTAAGGTAGCAGGTGTAATGTGCGGAGGAAAACCCCAGACCAACGTGACACTTTATGAACATGTCCTAACACGCCTATGTTCAACGGTGGCTGTTTTAGAGTCTGAGAGTTTCGAAGCCTTGGAACAGCTCCTTATAAAATGGCTGTTGTGTGGACAAACGTGGCCCGCACTAATGGCTGCTGATATTTGGTGTTTCGTGGCCAGGTGGGAGGCAATAGCTTGATATTCATGTTCTTTCAAATTGAGAATTCTTCGAAATTTTGAAATTATTTAAGGAGGGTTATTTGATGATTCCTCTATTTTCAAAAAATAAATTTTATTTCCTTGTAGGTATGGAACAAGTGAGTTGTGTAAGCATCATTGCTTGGTACTCTCTGAAATTTTGCCTCGTGCTCCACTTCACTCACACCAGCAGTTGGTACTCACTTCACTTCTCAAAAGGCTTATTTCCAAGCTTTCTCCAGCTGATAAGGTTGATTTTCTCTCTCACTTATCATCAGGTAAACTTTGTGTACAATGTCTATGTATGAGTGACCTTGAATTTATAGTTTGCATCCATAAAGATATATGAAACAGATTGAGTGGAACAAAATAGGACTTTAAAAGTTGTTCTTAGAAATCAGTAAGTGAATTGTGCTGACTTGAGGTTGCTTTTAGCATCACATTTACCATACTTGACTGTAATTATGAATTCCTTTGTTAATCTATTGACAATGGGAGTTCAGTTATGTATAAAATGTCCACTGTTGGTTTATTTTTTGTTTATGCAAAAATGACTTCAAGGAGACAATTATTAGGCCTACCTGACTTAAATTTTGTTACTGTTATTGTCAATATTATAATGATAATACTGGTAATGGCAACAATAATGGCATTGGTAACAGTAATAATAGTAATAGATTTTAAAAATTTCACACACAAAAAAAGGAGGAGTAAACTGGTGAGATCAGGTAAGCCCAGTAATTGATTCCTCTATGAATAAAGGTCTTGTGAAGCCATCTGTGTGTAAAAACCACAGTACTCAGGACATGTCTCTGACTAGTCAATTTCTTTGCCTTCCTTTTTCCAGGATCTATCGAGCGAGGGGATGAAGTTAGTCTTTCCTGTGCGGTGAAAGAGAACTGCAAGGCAGACCAAACAAAGGATATTAGGAAGAATCTTCTCAATAGCTGCTCTCAGACCATCAAAGCAATAGTTTCAAAAAATGCATCAGAAGACAATGTTTTTGATCTTGTGAGTAGAACCGTGCTTAGTTTTTTTGTCATCATCATCTTCATGGCTACAAAGTATTTACAGATTGATGATTTAGTAAAAAAAAAAAAAAAAAAAAGTTTTTGTGAAAAACCTCAATTTACATAATTATGAGACATAAGTGAAAGGGAAAAGTGGAAATCAGTCCCATTATGTATTTATAAGTAACTCCTCTCTACAGCTCTTTATCAAGTCAGTATATATAATTGCAGTTGGTCAAGCTTGAACACATCTTCCCGAGCCTTGCTGACTTCCCTCTAACAGACGATGAGGATGCAGCTGCTTTTGCTGAATGCATACAGGATCTAGCACAACTGTGGGCCAGGTTATCAGAGCATCTATTCTTATTAACAGTTTTTACTTGTGTTTGTTATACGTGACTGATTTTAGTGTGTTACGTATTGTAAATTCAGTCTTTAACTTACTGTATTTGCAGGTTTCCAATGGAATATATTGGCTGTTCAGCTGTTGATTTGCTGGCTTCAGGCTTATTGATGACATCAAGCTCAGCTCTTAATCATTACTCTAATGATCAGCTTCTGCAGGTAAATCTTTTGTGTATTTATATCAGTAAGAAATTCAGAAATGTTTAGTTTTAGATGAGCATGTAAATATGTATGGGTATATTATATGTAGCATTATAAGACTGTTTTTGGTGATTTCTTTATTAATATTTTGTCTATTATTTTTATCTTTTAGATCATATCTTTCTGTAAAGAAAGTGCCAGTCAAGCTTCACCAGTGTTTGGGGTCTCGATTTGCTTGCTAGTGGCTGCAGCTGGACAGTGCAGTCTGTTAGCTACATCTTCTTCGGAAGTTGCAAATGTCTTAGACTGCATCTCTGGTATGTAGTTTGATTCCTATTAATTCCTTGCTTGTGCAAACCCAGGTTAAATTTTGAACCACAAGTAACTTAGATAATCTTCAAATGCCAATAATTATCCAGGGTAGTATTGTGATCGTGATATAAGTCATAATTTCCTCGTTATTGTTTAATATTCTGTGTACAGGCTTTGTCTTGAAGAAATTTTACTTTATCATTTAGTTTGATAATAATTTTGAATTCAAGATATATGTATTTATTTTATTTATTTCCTATAGATGGGCTGCATAAAGTGTTGCAGAGCAAGAACCCATTTGTGTACCAGTGTGCTTTAGATGCTTTCGTTGCATTTGGTAAACATTCAGTGCATGAAAATGTAAGTATTAGAGTTATTAGAGAACATGATATATTCTTCCCATTAATGATTTTCTAAGTAGTAAAAGAAAATTTAGTAGGGGCTGTATACCTTTAGGTTTAGCTTCTACATTATGTGTATATGTTTGGAAAGGGGGTTGCAAACCTGAAGTTGTTTTGTGTAGTTAAATATAATAATGTTAATATATTGATATTTTTATTACAGTTACTAATATTTTTATTATTATAATTTTCTTTTATTTTTCTTTACTGTCATTATTCTGATTGCTGATTTCATCTTTTGCATTCCCAGGTATTGCCTTCATGTCTTCAAAAGTGTGAAGAGACTTTACAAGGAAAGGTTACAAAATACTTGCAACAAGAAGTACACTCTTTATCCCCTGGCATGTCAGTGTGTAACCTACTACAACACCAAAATGTTATCTGTTGCATGGATAAAACAGCGCTCTCTCGTAAGAATTATATACCAATCGAAGAATCGTTAATGGCAGAGAACATCTCAGCGAGTTCGTTATTATCAGAAGGAAAGGATAATTTGCCACAGGACTTTAAATCTTCAAAGAGAAAAAGGGAAGATGAATCAGTTTATTCTAGTTTGTGCGATGCTAGATCTTTAATGGAAAGTCTTCAAGAAAGTAGAAATATTATTGGAAAGTTGAAGAATAGAAATGAAATTGAGAAAATTGACAGAGATGGTGTTATAATTTTGTTACAGGAAATGATTAGTGAACTTAGCTCCTGAGTTTTTCTTTCTTTTGTTAAAACTTCTTTAATATCAAATTTTATAACAGCAAAGAAATAGTTCTAGAATAGGTGGTATTAGTAATATATATTTAGATTTAATATTTATTTATAGGGCAACAAACTCTGTTTTTATTATTTTCTTGTGTAAAGACAATAAAAATTAACAATTATTACTTATATTGATTATGTACCTGCGTGTGTGACTAGAGTAATCTTTATGTACAAGGGCTTGTAAAATTCCCCAGATATTTTAGTCTCTTTCTCCATGTCCCTCTCTCCTCACTCTTAAAAAGAATGGAAAATAAAAAAAATAAAAAAAAATCCTTAGATAATTCTGTTCAGGTTCTTTTCAAGAAATTCTGTATATTTAATGATAACTACCAATGTCATCCCAGAATACATGAAATTTACCTTCTTTTAGATTCAGAATCTTGTTATTCATGTATTGAACACACAATAAAAATGAAAAGTTGTGAGTCAGAGAATAGTTCCACATATGAGGAAAGCAAGTAAATTTGCATTTCAGTATTACATCTTTAACAGAACTGGCATTCAAGAAATTGAAATAGTAGGATTTTGTGTTAAATGTCTGATCAGTTTAATCAATTTTCTCATACCCGAGAAAGCTAATGAAAATGAAGAAAATACAGAAATTCATCTATATTTCATGAGAGAAAATACTTAAATCATAAAAGTCTCACTTATCAGACACCATAGCATAAAGTATTTACAATATTGTAATGGTTCTTTAACCTTTTATTTGACACAAAATGTAATAGAGAAACCTGATCAATTTTCTGCTGAAACATTGAAAGAACAAAAATGGTTAATGAATAAAATTATGATTAAAAGTTTTTATTAAATCTTTACCTATATCTCTTTAAACTTCTTCATTAAGAAAATAAAATCAACATATTAACAAAACAAATAAAAATATGCACTCTAATACATACCTACTTCCACAGAGCTCTAAAATAGAACTTTTTAATCACAAAATGTATTTTCTGATGATGATCTCTTCTCTGATTTCTCCATTTTTTTCATCATGCTCTCGGCCCAGTCCAGCCCAAACTTCTTCAGAACCTCTGTCATATCTGGCATAGAATAAACAGAATCAGATGAACCCTTACGCGACAGACTCTGTACCCCCGGCGAATGTCCTGACGTCTCGGTTTCTGTCAAATCATCTGCTGCTTTTCTAACAGAAGCTTGGTCCTCTCTTTGACTGCTGCTTTCATTTAGGTGGGGTAAAAATGCTGAAGTTGACGTCAAAGTGTTTTCTGGGCCAAGGGGTGTAAAGACCAAACTGCTAGTTGTGTGGTCAAAGGCACTGAGGTCCTCCTGCTCAGGCTCCCCTGGGAAACTTGACAGCTTCTCCTTCTGGTTGGAAGGGGGAAACATTGTAGAACCACTGTTAGTAAACCTCTTGCTGTTCATCCGTTCAGCATCATAGGAATGTGAATTTGGTGCTGAAAATTGGAATGGGCTTTGAGAACCATGTCTACCAGCTCTAGACCTCTGCATTGACTTAGAATCTAGCTGACTATTCCTGCTACTCTCACTCTCTTGGTCAGTTAGACTTGCAAGACCTTTTTGCCTTGGTTGCAGGTCATATGGTGAGACAGTATATTCTAAGTGGGAGGAGCCTGACCTTGCTTCCATTCCACATCTTGTCTCTTGAACATGTCTCTGCATGAGGCTTCCCTCCTCGCGATTACCCTCTGGTGATGACTCATACTCTCTTGATGGAGTTTGGTAACTCACTGACTTGCTTTTGTTTATATAATCTGACATAAATGAACTATCCTCATAGATTATACTCAAGTCCTTCTTTAGCTGCGTTTCTCTGAAAAATGGGGAATATAAGAATATGGTCAAGGACAGGGAAGAATGAAAGTCAAAGCATGATAATCATTACATTTCATTATTGAGGTTAAATGTAAGCCCAAAACAATGGCAAACTGAGTCCTTGGTATTAGAGGTATAAAGCAAATATTGCACTAAAAAGATAAGTATCTGCAAAGTAGTTATAGCAAATCTTAAAATTTTAGGAAAATAATTTTCATGTCACACACAAAAAACACTTTACAATGTGATATTAAACATAAGAATCAACTCACCCAAATGTTACTTTTCTGGAATTTTTCTGACTGCTGCAGTGAGAAGTTTGGGAAGCTATAGGCTCTGTTGGGTCACCTGACTGTGGCATCCTACTTTCTGCTGTTTGACTCCCATACAACTCACTCCCATCTTTAACAACAGTGCTCTGTGCCTTCAGGATGTCTTGCTTCAGTTTCTGTAATGTGCTGAGCTTCTCTAGGATCTCCAGTTCTTTTTCATAATTTCTTGACTGAGTTCCAAAGGCAATGTGCTGAGCTT